GTAACGCTGGAATCACATCAGCGATGTTGGAGGAGCAGCATGTTCAGCTTCCCGCTGGGGCCATTTGGCTAGGTTTTTTGACCGACTTTTACTTGCTTCCACAGCAAAATCCTCATCTAGCTGACAGATCTTACTTTATAACCAAGACTTCATTCTGTACATAGCTGCTTACTGTCTTGCCTAAAATATTTGGAGCCAGGCTTTGAGAGTTCAGTTTTGTGTTTTTAACATAGGGCAGCTGGACTGCTGCCACTTGGTCTCTTTAAAACCTGCAACAAGCAGTTCTGTTAGGACCTTGTAAAGCCCAAAAGCTTTCCAAATCCCAAGGCGTTGTAGCCACCTGTGTCTGATGTAAAAGCCCATTTTCAGCAGCTTCTTGTTGGAAATAGGTGATGTTTAACCCATCTTGCCGCAAGGACACATTGTTTTCCTTATGAAGGGACTGGTTTCAGGAATGGAGTATACACTGCTAACCCATGTAAACACTGCTGATAGTCCATGCTGAGTGGATACAGTGAGTGCTCAGTGTCTAAACAATCTCATCTTGTCCAGGAAAGTCATTGATTTTAGGAAATCATTTGCTATCAGCCAATACTACTGGTGCCCCCTCCCCCCCTTTTTTTTGCACCTATTTCCTGTACAACTGAGTGTTTTAAATTGGAAAAAGTGTGTGATCTTCCACATGAGGGCAGACTGCAGCCTGTCTTCATGCAGTACAGAAGTACATCTAGGAGTTTCTCTCCCTCTGCTAGCAATTTTAGGTTGTGTTTTTCCACAGATCACAAACTTGCTAGTGAGGATGGCCCTCAGGCCCCTTCTCAGTCCATCAGTGTACTGCAGGGTGACTGAGGTCTCTCATTCCAGCTACAGTGAGCACTCCAGTCTGGGTCCAGTCCTGAAATCCCAGTTGGAAATACCCCTGAATACAGGTGTGTAGAGCTACTGAAGTGCAGATTGCCTCTATTCCTTGTAAAAGGCAAATGTTAAATGCAAAAAGGTGCTTAGAGATGGAAGAGAAGAGCAAACTGTGGGACTCGCTTGAAGACGTACTGAAAAAGGTAAGCTGCGAGCAGAGTTTCTCGTGATTCTGGGAGGAAGCCCCCTGGGTCTCGCCATGCTTATGGGATCCATGTCTGTAGCAGAGATTCTGCTTTTAGTATGTCTGGGTCTACTTTATTGCAAGGTGCGCTTTGCGGTGGACTCGCCTGACGGTAGTGACACCACCTTCATTGGCTCTAAGGAAGTTCCTGAGGGGATGCCGTCACGGTAAATACCCATCATCAGAGGCCATTGGAAATGGGCCCTAGAATGTCAGACATTAGCCAAATGCCTGCTTTTTGGAGAAGGTGGTGTAAAACTTACCCAGATGACTGACCATCGTCTCTCTCATGCTTGTCAAAGTGGAAGAAACAAATGCAGTGAAACAAAATAAACTGGTGAATGCAGAGTAAGTCCAGATATGTGTTGGGTCAAAAAAAGATACTTGCATGTTCATTCAGTAGGATTGTAGAGATTTCACCCGCTGGCCAAAATCCATCCTTACTCACAAGCACACAAAACTCTGGGGCTGCACACACTGTTTGATACTGTTTGCCGAAATCATGATCTCATGGGAAGTAGGTAAGAATGTGAAGAAGCCAATGGACACGTCCCAGCCTTCTGCAGTCCACAGTACTTCCAAACTGCCTCCGAGTGCATGAGCATTGCAGTTTTTGGCATTGAAGAAAGTAGATCTTCCAGATGGCCACAGGAGGGTGCAGCGCAGCTTGCCTTGCCCGCTCCCTCATCAGTAACCCTTCCCTAGTTTTCACTCATTCTCTGTTAATTTGAGGTTGCAGATTAATTTATATTTCTGCTGGCAGGTCATGTCCAAGACAAATAGATGTGTTTATAGCAGAAAGAGAGTCTATCTATAGTATTTTCAACAAGTGCAGGAGGACAGCAAGATATAATGTATAATGTAATATATAATATTCCCAGTTGTTAGCTGGGAAGGTTAGAGGATGGAGAGCAATTTCTGCTTAAGTGAAACTAAAGCAGTCATGATGAGAGTTGCCATTTAAAAAAAACTATATTTTTGGTCTTCTTCCTTGAGATCTCTATTTCTCTGGTAAAGACTGATCTCCTACTTTTGGGTCTAAAAGTGCCTTGTTACATAGAAGTGTGAAATGAGTCCTTGGAGTGGAACCTGAAGTGT